TGAGTGGTAAATAGTAGTTAGTGGGTAGTGAGTAGTAATTCTTGATTAGTGAGTAGTGTGTAGTGAGTTGTGTTTAATGAGTAGTGAGTACTGAATAGTGGGTAGTGAATAGTGAGTAGTTTGTAGTGAGTACTGAGTAGTGAATAGGGAGTAGGGAGTAGTGGGTAGTGGGGGTAGTGAGTCGCGAGTAGTGAGTACTGAGTAGCGAAGTGAGTGGTAAGAAGTGAGTACTGGGTAGCGAAGAATGAATTGTGGGTAGTGAGTGGTGCGTACTGAGTAGTGAGTACTGTTTGGGGTTAGGGCTTGGGTTTGGGGTTAGGATTAGGGGTCAGGGTAAGGGTGAGGATTAGTGTTAGGGGTGGTAGGGGTCGGGTTCCGGAGAGCGGGGGCGCCGTGGCGAAAGGGGGTGAGGGGGGGGGTTCGAATTTGGCGGCCAAAGGAGGGAAGGGGGGGGGGGTCGGAACCCTCCCCCCCTTTTGAAAGGGGGAGAGGGGAGGGGATCCCCGACGACGGACCGGGAAAGGGGGGAAGGGGGGAAAGAGGGTTCCCCGACGACGGATCGGGAAGGGGGGAGGGAGGGGGGAGTCCCCGACGACGGATCGGGGAAAGGGGGGAGGGGTCCCCCCCCCCTCGGGGACATCCAGCGGCGCGCCCTCTAAAATAACAGAGCCGAGCATAACACAACACACCGTGACACATAACCCATCATATCATAGCATCACAGCACCACAGACCATATCAGAACCCGACAGCAAGACATAGCGAACCATATTAGCAGAGCAGCTCATAGTATACTCAACTGAGCCGAGCTGACAACAGCATCACGGAACAGAGCATACGGTAACATATCTTGGCGTGACATTCCATGCCATAACATAGTGCCACAGAGCAGATCATGCCATACCATATCAAAGCCTCTGGTGTCAGAAATGATCATGAGATAACACACTCAATTACAAGAGAAACATCTAAGTAAATAGTACTATAAACAACAGACGAAACATCTAATGCCACAGGCGTCGCGACGTCGTGCCGGCCCGTCGAAAACATAACAGGACAGATTATAACATATCATGAAAGAAAGTGACTACATGGAATACGATTGAACGGTTCTTGGATCCAGAAGCGGCAGTTGTCGACCAATTCGGCGACCGCGCGCCGTCGGGAATAAACGCTTCAGGTTTCGGTGGGAATCTTTCGAAGCAAGATAATTTAGTTGTCTTTTTTTCTCTCTCTTTCTCTCTCTCTCTCTCTCTCCTCTCTCTTTCCCATCCCGCCTGCATGCGAAACTTGAAAGGTCAGGGGGCATGGCGGGAAACGACAGTGCGGCCTTGTGTATGCAAACGTTTGTAACTATCGATGTGCACGCGCTCACACGTCCAGATTATATGGCGATTCGCTCTCGTTCGCGCCTTACGTCTCGTTGCCTGCTTCGTGTGATGTGGCTGCGTCGGGCCTTCCAGATGCGGTCCTCCTCATTGTTGGTTCTTTCCACCCGACGCACTCTCGCTTTCCATCTTGTAGGTGAGATGGCACCGCTTACCCAGAGTGGTGGGCACGACGCGCCAGAGAAAAAAAAACCATCCAAACTAACCCCTCTCCCTTTCCTCTCCCTTCGCGTGGCCCTTTTCCTCTTCGTTCTTGTAGTCCGTTGTCGTTTTGATTCGGCGAGTTTAGTATCGATTTGCATGTGGTGGTGCGGGCAGCACCGTCCGCCCTGCAGAACCTGGCCATACATCCAGGCGAACACATCGGAGCTGACGGTGCGCTGTGCTTACAAGCGCGGCGAGCGTGGAACCACGGGCTCCGGGATTTGTGAATTTTTCGTTTGGGGAGAGGGACAAAGGGCATTGGAAGGAGGGGGCAGAGCGGATTCGCAGGGGGAGAGGGCGACTTGTATTCTTCGTGCTGAAATTCGCGCATCTGCCGTCGCGTTTGTACCCGACTTCGCGCCCTGATGAGTCGTGATTGCGATTCGGCGTTCGCTTGGCGATCCACTGAAGTGTTTTGGGTGCCTCGTGATGCAATGTGTGAAACTGGTGCTGGGTGTGGATTTGAAGCAGTTCGTTTGCGATACCTTCAGTGCAGGTTCCTGTATCAAACGTCATAGCCCTTTGAGTCGTCTGCAGGAGTAGTTCGTCACGTACTTAGTATCGTACAAAGCGCAGTAAGTACGATCATAATGCTAGTCTTTTTTTCTGTCGTCCCCGACGATTGCTTAGCTTCTCTTGAAAACTTCGGTACAGCGCTGCGTACATTGTTTCGGCTGTCAGTTGATAAGCTATGGGCAAGTTGTGCTTCCTACACGATGTCGCAAATGCGCAGGATTGTCTGCCTCCATATTTTCATTGCGCGACCTTCAGCTCATCGCAAATTGGCGTCATGATGTTCAGGCATATCGCCACTTAGCGCATCCCTGTCGTTGCGGATGGGGAGGAGGAGGAGGAAGAGGAGGAGGAGGAGGAAGAGGAGGAGGAGGAGGACGAGGAGGACGAGGGGACGAGGAGGCGGAGGTGTCAGAACATGGCCCTGCGACTGGGTGAGGAGCATCGCGATACAGTGAAGTCGAGCAGTTGTCGTTACCGACGCTGTTTAACTGAAGCACTCAACAGTGGCACAGACGTTTTGTTCCGCTGTTTACAGACATCGCCTATCACCCTTGAATCGTGCCCGCGCAGTCTCCTCAGGAGCCGCACGGTCGCGGAGCGAGGTTACTGGCAGCCGCGGCAGCATCGGCCGCTCATCCAAGAGGTTCGCTCCAGGAGTTAAACGCGCCCCACGGCCGAGACCCATGGCTTAATCTAAACCCAGCAAGGTTCAGTGAGCTGTGCGAAGCCGCGTTCTACGGGAGTGACTACAGTTAGGTGAAAGTGGCAGTGAAGGCTATCCATGAGGGGGTGGAAGAGTTCATCGAGAGGCAGACCGCAGCTGGAGTCAGGACCCCTCACCAACGAGGATGGTTACAAGTTGCCACGGATGACCCAGACATCAACTCTTCCTGCTCGTCAGCATCGTTGTACGCAGAAGGGAAAGCAAAGAAACTTCAGTTAAGAATCAAGAGCGTGGAGGACCAAACGAAAGTGCAGAAAAGCATGATGGATCAGGCAACGATGATCGTCGAAACGAGAGCGGGAGGCAGAAACAGGTCAGGAGGACACCAGAAGCCGGTTAGTAAACATAAAGCCACGCAGCAGCTCAAGTTTTTCTCCCGCGACCGAGCCAAAGTCCGCGAGTGGAATGGAGCATTGTTGGTTGAACGCCTCGGCGCATGTGAACCCACAGCACCAGAAGGCGTTCAATATTTTAGGTGGCAAGTTGGATACCATGGGCGGGACGTTGCAGGACGAGGATGACGATGAACTGTTTAGAATCCTTAACCGTCGGTTAACGGCATCAAGATACGCAAGAACCATCGCAGCAAAACAGCATGAGGACGACGATCAATTAGAATTCGATATTACCGGTGAAATTGTATAGCCGCACTGGACGAGGACACGTGGTACGTCTGGAATTACAAACCGGAGGGAGTGGAACCCAGAGGAAAGCTTAAAGGACGCAGGGAAGGCGATATATTGCCAGCGCCCCGCATGTATGAATATGTATGTATGCGTGTATACACACACATATATATATATATATAGGTATGTATATACATACAGGAATGCATTGGCACGTCGCGCCATGCACCTTGGGTCTTGAATTTTGGCATGCAGGCGGAATGGCAGGAAGGTCAAACAGACAATCTAAGGATAACTCCTTGTTGCCTTTTCCGGCATCGCCGGTGTAACAATAGTATTCGTGATCCTTTCTCCATGTGTTTTTCCTCGTTCTCGCCCTACCCTGCGAATTCTTCCCCATCCTCAGCTCTTGTTGCGGAGGCTCCTCCTTGGAGAACCTCTGGTGGCCCCACGGAAGTTTTTCAGGTTTTCTTGAAGCCTTCTAGCCTTGTGGAGGCCTCCTGGGCGTGTTCTGGGTGCCTCTGGAGGCTTCCTCGGGCCACCCTGCCTCCAACCGCGGTCTCCCTGAGCGACCGGGTCACGATTTGGAAGGCTTCGGAGGGCGTCTTGGAGCCATCTTTGGCCGATGGGGTTTTCTTAGGCCATCTTGAACCCTGTTGTGCCGTCTTGGGGCTCTCTTGAACATGGTTTTGGAACGATTTTCGAGCCTCCCAGGCGGTCTCAGACGCCCAGAAGACCAAAGAACAGGGCATTCCCCAAATCATGCAAACAATATGAAAATCATTGTGTTTCTGCGCTTGGGAAGCCTCTTGAGGGTCTTTTTGGGGTCGTCTTCAGGCGTCTGGTGGGTATCTGGGGCCTCTTGGGGCCCTCGGGTGGGCGTTCGGCCGCCCTCCAGAACGGTTTGGGCCCGTTGCCTAGGCCCAGCAAGGGCTTCTAGGAGCTCTGAAACGCCTGGGGGGCCTGTTGCAGGGGCGTCCAGGGGGCCCCCGGGGCCATGGATCCTGGTGGTCCAGAAGGTCCTGGGGGCCCGGGGATCAGGGGGGTCCGATTGGGCCCGGGGATCAGGGGGGTCCGATTTCGGGGGGGTCGTCCAGGGTAATATAACATTGTGAAATTTACTCCCGCAACAGCACCGTTGTGACAAGCGTCCCCGCCACACAGCGCCACCGATTGATGAGATAAAGGCCTCGCGCTCTTTGATCGAACATGCGAGGCGGTCGCACAGTAGCAGTGCTCAAAGAGGCCCCTTGTGGGTATACAGAGAGCCAGACACAGCAGCGGCACGCTTGCATCACGCTAACACAGAGCATACGAGAGCGTGAGAGGGCCTTGCGTTTTTAGATACGGATGTTAGTTCAAACCCTTCTGACATAAAGAATATACCTCAACCGACGCAACATGGAAAGGCACAAACCGATGGGTTCTGCCGCATACGAAACTTGACGCCCAACTGGCGCGATATATACGAAACTCAACGCCAAACTGGCGCGAGACAATGAGAAATTCATGCAAGAACTGAAATCAGAGTAAACCTCTCACTCACGTAGCCTCCTGCTCTTCGCCTGGGCCTGCATGCTGCTTCGTCCCGACTCCAACTGAGTCTGCCTTACGCCTTACCTTCAAGTCCCGTCTCATCGCCGCCTTACGGTTTCTGAACTCCTTCATCTCCGTGTTGGCGTTGTTATTGTACTCGCTGCTGTACAACACCCGCTGGAGGACCTGGTCGTCCAGCGCATCACCCTTAGTCAAAGGGTCTGCCAGCATCACGCTGGTGTCCACCCAACGTAGCTCATCTCCACCCCTCGCCAATAGCTGGTTCAGCGCCGCAAGCTCGATGCCCACGCGCTTATCCTGGGGCCGTGCCCACGTCAATGCTCAGGTGTTCCACCACGCTCTTGGCATCGCACATCCACAGTGCGTGGATATCCTTCGTCCGACTCTCCCCTTCGGCAGCGTGGAGTTTTGGATCACGACTCCCGAGCAACACTGCCGTGAACCAACATCTCGGTGCCCGTCGCCAGCGCATACGTCTCCGGCGCCATGGTGCTCCAGCAAACGCGTTTCTCGACTTGACTCTTCCACTCCATGACGTATATCTCCGTGTTGCCGTGTTGCCGTTCTCGTCCAGCGGTGTCATCACCCCGACCACTCGCTTTGCTGGCTGCGAACAGGCTCCGATTTGCAGCACGACGTCCTGGACATTCGCGCGCGCCGAGGCCGTGCTCACGAACACGCGTGCATTCTGCCAGTCCACAGCCTCCGCGAAGTATGACCTTCCGATCCGCAAACTCGTGTGCTTGTTACACTCGAACAGGTCGTTCACCGTCGGTGAAACGAAAGTTGACTGTCCATTCGAACTCGCAAGAAAAAAAGAAACATATCTGGACTTGTCTGTCGCTGCAACCATGATCGATTCCCATATCGCCCACGTAGCATGGACATTCCGGGTGGAGTACATGATGCATCCCGCTGTCGCTTCTTGCTCGGTGCGATCTGGATATGGGTGATATTATTGGCGCACCCCTTCTGCCCATTCTCCACGGTCCCATCGCTGCTCTGCTCGATCATATTGCCGCAGTGCTGAATATTCAGCACCTCGTCCTGGTCAACGTCCACCAGGCTCTAGAGGGTCTTGAGGCTCTGGTCGTAGTGCTTGCCGTAGCCCGCCATCAAGATGTCGCCAACGCGCGTCGTGCACATGCCGACTAGCCCTCCCTCATGCCATCTTCCAGTTGCTGGTAATCAGATTCTTATCGCCTTCTTCCACCACCCACGCGCAGCGTCGCCAGAGCCGTAGATCGGGACGTTTGCACGCAGCAGCGATCCTTCAGGAAGGGAAACTCCGAACATGCCACCAGACGGTGGCCTGAGGTACAGCTCGCGATCTATGACGTCCCCCTGCAGGTAGGCGCTCTTCGCATCCATGTTTCGTACCACGCGAGCTGGCCCATCACGATGTCCACCAGATGCCGCCCAGGCCACTGCCATATGTTGGGCCAGAAGGCTCCCAGTTGGCGCATCTCGCCGGTAGTTGGAGTCCTTCTCCAGATTGCCCAGCACCACCAGTCTCGCCTTCAGCTTGACGGGAGGTTTGTTCTCGTCCGCCCGCATCGCCTCGCTATTGTCCGTGAGTGCGAATCGTGCCGGCACAGCCTGCACATGCCGCGGCAATTCACGGACTTGCTTCGCGGTGAGGATCTCGACCGCATCGCAGTGACACCACTTGTTCGATTTCTTCTTCTTGGTCTCATCGAGTGCCCCCTTCAAGCGCTTCGGGTTTTCTCGCTCCTTGAGCTCGCGTCGTCCAGGCTCTCCCCATGCGTCTCCCGAGCTGCTTCTCCAGCGTCTTGCTGACGGGCGTGCCTTCAGCCTTCGCCGCGCGCGCCATCTCGATCTCTTCGCTGCGCTCGGTCAGGAAACGGATCCACAGTCGGTCGCGCGCCTCGCAATTGCGGCCCTCCGCAATGAGCGCCGACGACGCGCCGACCAGCGCGCGCCCGCTTCGAACGAAATCTGCCTCTTCTGACCGCCGACCTCGCTCGGCAATAGAGGGCGCATCTTGGCCTCGCCGGTCGAGCTCTCGCCCTCTGTGTCCGCTATGGGGCCCTTGTCATCGGGCGCATTGGCGTCTGGGCCCTCTTGTCCGTTCGGATGCTTGTCCTCGAGTTCGCTCTCGTCGTCAATCCCCATGGTCGTCGGCCCCGTCTCGGGCACGGGTGCCGCCGCGATCGGCGCGCCCGACTTCTCCGACAGTTTATCTTCGGCGTCTGCCAGCTCTTCGCTCTCCTCGGTTTCATCGGGGAAAGTCGGCCTCCAACGTGCGTCTGCGTTGGTGGCCCTCGCCCGATGCTCGGCGCCGGCCTCGACTGCCGCGCCCCGTGGGATATTCCAAGCGATGATATCCTCAGGCGTCGCCGAGCGCAGCTGCTCCGGCGCCGCGAGGTTCTGCCACCCACGGCAGTTGAACCAGATGCTGCGGGCCCGGGGCCGTCCAGCATCTCCGCTCCAAACGTCGTGGCCAATTGCTCTGCTTATGCCGTGCCAGCGACCGATTGCTGGGCTATGATTCTTAGTTGGTCGCTGCGCCCGGCGCAAATACAGAGGGTTTCCTGGCGGCCGCAGTTTTCTCATCTTCGACTGCGAGCCGACATCGGTCGCCTCATGCGGCAGTCGTTGCCCACTTCGATATACGCCTTGCGCGCCGCATCTCTCCGCGCCGCCTGCTTGGCCATCGCGCCCCCAGGTGGCAGGATTGCCTCATGCGTCTCTAAACGGCTCGCTTCCAATGGATCAACCAGACTGCCTGGAATCCGCACGTCACGACCGAAAACCCATTGCACTGGAGCAAAGCCGCCTCTCCGCATCATGGAGTTCTTCGCCTTGTTCGTCTCGACCGCGCCGAGCTCTGCGTCGCCCTCGGCGGCGAGCCGCTGGCCGCAGCACGCGCGTCTCCAGAGCTCCTTCCAGACACCGCCAGCTCGCTCGCATCGCCCGAGGCGGCGGTGCTGCCCCGCGCTGGTGAACTCGCAGCGCGCCGCGCGTGCGACGATCAGCTGCTCCCTGACGTAGGCCACGTTGTTACGGGCTTGATCCATGAAAACTCTTTAGGGCGCGCCTGCCCGCGACGCCCACCTGGACATGAGCGCCTCAAATTTTCCTCGTCTGCAGGGACCCCCCCCCACCACGGTGCAGGGGCGCTGCTTGCTGGCACCCTGTCCCGTCGCACACCATGCGAAGAGTGAGACTCGAGTGCCGTTAGCCGTGTGCCCTTCGAGGACATCGATCTCGATGAGATATTTGAATTCGCGCGGCGCCACCGGCAACTTGGTAGGTCTCGACGTAGTTGGCCCTGCCAGACTGGCGCGCACGCTGCGCCACAAATGCCCTGCAGCCTTGACGGCCTTGGGCGTGGCTCGACCCTACAGTGGCAGCCTCTGGAGTGCCTCGTTCGACGGGTGCATGTGGGTGTAGTAGTGCCCTCCGTGGGCCTGCATCCACTGCCTTCCAGGCCTTGCGGACTCTTCGTCTTCAGGTCGTCGCGGTTCGTCGCGCGGTGGAGGGGGTGGCGGCGCTGGCATCGCGCCGACGTCTGGCGGGGTAGACCCCCTTGGAAGGGTTGATGTTGGCCGCTCGCCTTCGCCGGACTCGTTCGGGGCACAGCGCAAAATGGCTTTGCCGTGCCGGCGCGACATGGGCGGAGCAGGGTTGATATTTCAGTCATTCTGCTCGTGGATGCTCTGTCCGTTGTCGTCGATGCCCGCAGTCTCGCGATCTCTTGTCAGTCGCACTTGCCTCTCATGGGAGAGACTCCTCGGGTCGAACTGAGTGTCCATCCACGTATTGTGAGTAGCTCCCAGACTCGTCGGTGCACGCGTGGGCCGCGTCGACACTGGCGGAGCCCCCACGCATCGGCCTCCTGCGGACTTCGTCGTGGAGCTCGGACCTCCGCGGGGAATGCGAACTGCTCGCAGTGCCCTTCGAGTGGCCCCTCGCGCGCGCCCAGCAAGATGTCCTCTACCAGTTCCAACGGTTACCGTCCTGCTTGCTCACTCCGAGCTCCGTTTGTACGGTGTCCCTCAATCGTGTCGCATCGATGTCGCGCATCGCACTTCCGCATGGGCCTTTCCGCGAGTGCGCCCTTGTTGACCGCAAACCCACTTGGCTTCAGGTGGGGCCGTCCGCTCTCGGTGCCCCTGAGGTTCCACTGGCGCGCATCTCCCCAGACGAAGTCCATCTTCGGGCCCATCGGCACCTCCTCCAGCGCGGGGTCCCCCCAGGCGTTGCTCGCCCAGGGGTTCTCCGTCAAAACAAGCTTCCCACGCTCCAAGCGGCGCTTGGCGACCCTCGCACTGAACTCCAACAGCAGCCGCGCTTTCTCCCGATTCTTCCCCTCTCGCGCTGCGAGCGAACCTCCGCGCGCGACCTGGAGGCGGGGCCGGCCGCCCCACGGCCCATGCCGGAAAATCTCGCAATCCCTTTGTAGGGGCCCCATCCAACCCCTGGCGGGCTGGATCTACGTGCCTGCCTGCGTTTCGAAAGGGTTCGCCTGGTTTTCAACATGGCGAAAAAAGGAGGACTACGAGGATGATGAACAACGAAGAATGAGGACGAGGAGGAAGAGGGTGGCTGAGGAGGAACCAGGAGGAAGGGGATGTCTGAGGAGAAAGAAAAGAGGATGAGGATGAGGGTGGGAAGGAAGAGGAGGAGGAGGAGGAGGAGGAGGAGGAGGAGGAGGAGGAGGAGGGGGAGGACGAGGGACGAGGCGCATAGGACTTGCTGATGCAGCAGCGACGCTTCAATGAATTATCCCTTGTTCGCTGCGCGTTCCTTCCTGAGTCCTGAGATGTCCGTGCAAACACTCTTGGGGGGCTCGTCTTGGGGTCTTGAGGGGGTCGGGATCTTTGGGTATCTTTGGGTGGCTATAGTCTTGGTGTCTGAGGGCTGCCTTTGGGCGGTTATAGTCCTGGTGTCTGAGGGTATCTTTGGGTGGCTATAGTCTTGGAGTCTGAGGGTCTGTGGGGTCTTGGGCCTTGGGGAGACGTCTTGGGATCTTCGGGGGACGTCTTGGGGGTCTAGGGGCTCGTCACTTTTTCCTTACCTAGGCTCTGCCTAGAAGGGTTCTTACTCTCTTAGCCTAAAGGGGCCGGGCAGTGTAAAGCGCCCCGGGCGGTTCCCCCAGCCCCCGCCCCGCGGTTCCCCCCAGTCCCCATGGGAGCTTTAGCTTTAGCTTTAGCTTTAGCTTTAGCTTAGCTTTAGCTTAGTTGTAGCTTAGCTGCAGCTTAGCGTTTCGCTTAGCTTTTCGCTTAGCTTTTCACTAAGTTTTAGCTTAGCTTTAGCTTAGCTGTAGCTTAGCTTTAGCTTAGCTTGAGCTTAGCTTTTGTTAGCTTTAGCTTAGCTTTAGCTTAGCTTTAGCTTAGCTTTAGCTTAGCTTTAGCTTAGCTTTAGCTTAGCTGTAGCTTAGTTTTAGCTTAGTTGCTGCTCAGCGTTAGCTTAGCTGTAGCTTAGCTTTAGCGTAGCTGCTGCTCAGCGTTAGCTTAGCTTTAGCTTAGCTTTAGCTTAGCTTTAGCTTAGCCTTAGCTTAGCTGCTGCTTAGCTTTAGCGTAGCTTTAGCGTAGCGTTACTGTTACTACTAATGCTGTTTTCCTAGGGGTTCCAACTCCTAGGTAGGGTCGCACTGGGGTAATTTTTTTTGGGGGGGGGGAGGCGTCTTGGGAGCCCTCCGTCTTGCGCCTTGGGGGGCAATCGTGGGGGGCTGTCTTGCAGGCGTTTTTCCCTACCTAGGCTCTGCCTAGAAGGGCTCTTACTCTCTTAGCTACAAGGGGCCGGGCAGTGCAAAGCGCCCCGGGCGGTTCCCCCAGTCCCCTGGGAGCGGTCCCCCCCAGTCCCCTGGAAGCTTTAGCTTTAGTTTTAGCTTTAGGTTTAGCTTTAGCTTTGCTTTAGCTTAGCTGTAGCTTAGCTTTAGCTCAGCGTTTCGCTTAGCTTTTCGCTTGGCGTTTAGCTTAGCTTGAGCTTAGCTTTAGCTTAGCTTGAGCTTAGCTGCAGCTTAGCGTCAGCTTAGCTGCAGCTTATATTTAGCTTAGCGCTTCGCTTAGCTTTAGCTCAGCTTTAGCTTAGCTTTAGCTTAGCTTTAGCTTTAGCTTAGCTGTAGCTTAGCTTTAGCTTAGCTGCTGCTCAGCTTTAGCTTAGCTTTAGCTTAGCTGTAGCTGAGCTTTAGCTTAGCTTTAGCTCAGCTTTAGCTTAGCTTTAGTTTAACTTTAGCTTAGCTGTGGCTTAGCTTTAGCTTAGCTTTAGCTTAGGGTTAGTTTAGCTTTAGTTTAGCTCTAGCTTAGCTTTAGCTTAGCCTTAGCTTAGCTTTAGCTTAGCCTTAGCTTAGCGTTACTGTTGCTACTAACGCTGCTTTCCTAGGGGTTCCAACTCCGAGGTAGGGTCGCACTGTTTTTTTTGTTTGGGGGGGGGGCAATGTTGGAAGCCATCTTGACATCTTGGCATGCCGTCTCAAGATTGAGCTGCGATCGCATCGCAGCCATTTTGGCTCTGAGGCTCAGGCCATGGCAATGGCCTGGAATTCGGTTGGTTCCCATGCCCGACTCTCAATGTTTCTTTTGGTCGGGGCCCGCAGGACTGACAGACAGGGCCCCGGTAACGGATGTGTTTCTCTCAAGGCGGCGTTTTCACTTGTGGTGTGTTCTGGTCTGAATGCTCAATGCAGTGTAGTTGGGTTGAATGCGCAGTTCAGTAGTGACGCAACGCAGTGGGCTCAACGATCAGATTCAATGAACATGATTGTTGGCGTCGCCCTGGCCGCGCCCACCGGGGTTCCATCTGCTGCTGTTTTCTTGGTCTCTGCTGAGCGCGCGCCATTGGACTGCTGGTCTCAGACAAGGCGGAAGGAGGATGCTTTAGTGATGCTGCGCCTTGTTGAAACTGATGCTATGAGGCATCCAGTGCATATGTTCAACTCACAATGCAATAATCACTTTAAGTCGCTGTTCGGAGAGGTTTCCGGGGGCACGTTTAGACGATGCGTGGATGCTGGATGCGCTGGTCACGACAGCCTCTTAGAAACGATCCTGAGGTGGGAGCTCAAGCACAACATCCGAGCAGAACGAAACGATAGAGACGAACCTCTCATCACGACGATTGCGACGATGCCATTGCCTCATGCCGTTCTTTGCGCCACGAAGTGTTGGTCATCTCGGGCGTTTCCCATCGGCCGGAACCCGAGGACTTGCAATGGCATGCGGCTGTCCCTGGTGGCGCCATTATGGCGACACTTTGGCGGGGGCGCAATCCGACGAGGAGTCGCTGCGCTACCTGGCGAGGACAGGGTTCCAAAGCACACGTGCCCATGCGTCTGCCCCCCCCCCCCCCCCCCCTAAGCACCGCCCTCTAATCTCCTTAGAAAGGGGTGTCAGCGAGGAGCAGGGCGGATGGGAAGGGAAGCATTGCGAGGGCATGGATATGCTTTGGAGCCCTGGCAGGATCATGACTTGTCGATTGGTGATCTGCAAGGCGCGGCCAACACCTCACAGATCTTGTCATCCATGGTCGCCGGCGACGCTCCGATCAAAGAGGAAGCTGGCCGCCACATCGCGCGGCTGCAGAACGCGCGGAACGCAATGCTTCTCCAACAGATGGGGCAGACGCGCAGGTCGTCCAGAATGGAATCGACGATCAATGCCGCGCTGGCGTCGTCGCTCCTTCGGCAGGTGGAGAGTTTCAAAGAAGTTTGTTCGATGCATTCAAGCGGTAGTGGCTGACCGTGCTCTCTGTCGACATCTTGCGGCGCTTGTGCACAGGCCTCAAATTCTGCTTGGGGGGCGACTCTGCATCGGCACAAGTTGACTTTGCATCTTGGTTGTTGCGCTCGGCTGCAGCAGCTCAACGCAACGCTTCTGGAGGATGCAGGCATCAGCGGTTCAAATCAGACCCAGTCGCTGCGCACCTGAACCACCCCCTCCGAGAAGCCAGAGGAAGAACGGAATCGGAGGAGGTGGGGAGGAGCGCATGGGCATGGGTATGATTTGAACCATCGAGGCGGAGTCGCGTCTTGGAGGGCGCTGGATCTTTCTCCTCAAGCTGGTGTTGAATGGCT